ATGGTATTTTCAATTGCCTCATATGCATGTGAAAACAGGACAATGAATAAGCTGACCAAAGAGGAATTGATGCCTTTGAATTATGGTGTTGGTGAAGAATATTGAATATACTACGGACTTTCAGAAGAGCGAACAAACCAGTCTTGAAAGAAGTACAGCCAGAACACTCCTTAGAAGCAAAGATGATGAGACTTCGTCTCATGTACTTTGGACATGTTATCAGCAGGCGCTAGTCCCTGAAGGAAGGACATCGTGCTTGGTAGAATGGAGGGTCAGGGTAAAAGAGGATGACCCTCAACAAGATGGGCTGACACAGTGGCTGCAAAAATGGGTTGAAACATAGCAACGATTGTGAGGATGACACAGGACCAGGCAATGTTTCGTTCTGTTGTACATAGGGTCGCTATGAGTCAGAACGGACTCAGCAACACCTAACAACAACAACATTGCCCATACTTTTGTTGTATGGATACTTTTACTGTTGGCCAGCCTCCTGGTTAGCCACAGATTATGGGATTGATGCTACATAAATATTTCCTTTTTAATTTTTTCAAAACCAGATTAACTGTGTTTTTTTCATTGTGCATGTAGATCACAAGTATTCATGCAAAAATAGATACAAAAAATCAAAGCACCTCCTTTCCAGAATCTGTCAGGAATAACATTTATAAAAAAAACTCTAGGTTAAAAAAATACATTTCGAGGTTCAAGATGTTTAAGAAACAAATCACCTTAAAAATTGGCTTCCTCTCAGCACTATGCACTATCACTCTTAGGGAAACCTCTTTTTTTTTTTTTTTTGCATATTTCCAGTAAGGCAAATGAAATATTCACAAAGGGGTACAACTGCTTAGAATGATCTGCATACTTATCCTGGTAGGGAGTAATTTTAGCACTGTGTATTCCTTGCTGAGACCTAGCAAACTAATTATTTCAATTGACTAAGCTTAGGATATTTCAGAGGAGGAAACAAGAAAAATAGGCTACATTTGCTATTAGGTTAGTGTGGCACCACATGTATTTCATAATTTTCAGTATTTTTGCCAATCAAATGAAGTTATTTTATAAGAATTGTACCAAATTAGGAAATGCTGCTGGCATAGTGGTTAAGAGCTACGGCTGCTAACCAAAAGGTTGGCAGGTCAAATGCTCCTCGGAAACCCTATGGGGCAGTTCTGCTCAGTCCTGTAGGGTTGCTGTGAGTCAGAATCGACTCAACAGCAACAGGTTTGGTTTTTTTGGTACCAAATTAAAAGGTGAGAAAGTTTACAACGAGACCAACAAAACCTCTTTTTCATCATGTCCCAGTGACCTTGAAATGTGAAGCCCTTTACAGAAATTTTTTGCTGTCCCTTTTAGCTTGATACTTTCTCTTTCATTGTAGCTATTCTGTAGGAATATTTTCCTTTAAATTTTTCTTGACGACTTCTTTTATTCTCCTGGGGTAGAGGTCTATTTGGGTACAGTTGTTTAGTCTCGTGTTCTTTCTTGACCCAGAATTGGCCGATGCCGTTCTACACCTTCTTTCTTCCATGCTATAATGGTAATAGGAATGCTGCTAAACTGTTCCTCATGGGACCACTTGCCATTTTCTCAGGGCTCAGGCAGTTCTAGTTCATCTCCAAACTTGGCAGTATAAATCTGTGGTCTGTGTATGAATTGTTGGGGTCATTTGCTGCCAACTCCGTAGAGAACTTGGTGTTTCTTGTTCCCTTTTGGTCCTAGACCTAACTGGATCTTTGTCTTGTGCTAGTGTACTGTACGCTGGGATGAGGCCCTTCTACGGTTCCTATAATGGCTCCAACTTTACACTGTGGCTCTACTTGATATACTGTCCTTTGATTGCTGGTTGGGGATCAAATGTTTCTTAGTTAGAATGAATTAACAAGATAAAATGTAAAATCTTCTTGTCAGGAGATCTTTTAAAAAAGTATGAGTTTTTACTAGTCTAAAGGAGTTTAGTTAGAGGCAAAAGAGATTATTTCATTCAACTCTGTAACTCTGGGACTTTATGATATAGCAATGATGAAATAATGAAAAGCTTGTTTGAAAATTTCTTTATAACTTGTCTATCACATTTGTGAGCTAATCATTATTTTGATTAAATGTATCAAGGCTAGGAAAATGTTGAATATTTCAAAGCAAATAATCATTGTTTACATTTAATAAAATGCCTTTCAGAAAGACAAAGAAGAAAAAGGGAATTTATTTTAAAATTGTTATGTTTTATGATAGATTTGTAGATATTTCTATACATAAAGATAGATTTCAATTTAGACATAAAGCATTTTTGTGTAAGCTGTTTGTATAATGTAATTTTCCCCCATGAAAACACTTCTGATTTTGAATGTCTGTACACACTGCATACATGCATAAAAACAAATACAGTTAATTGCTACATTAATATTTTTTTCTCTTTTTTTTAAAAATAGGGCCTAATTGTGCAGATTTGAAACAGCCTATGTACTTAGGATTTGAAAAAGATGTCTTTAAAACTATAGCTGATTACTATAGTCACTTGAGAGAGCCTCTGCTTACATTTCATCTTTTTGATGCTTTTGTCAGCGTATTAGGTAAGTTGTAATGAACATATATCTGCGTAATTGATATCGAATCACTTCATTTTTCGTTATCTTGAGACTTTAATTAGGCAAAGATCATAGCATTTTTAAAATAAAAACTGAAATGGTTAAACTATATTATGAAACTCAAAGCAAGAGTCAATAGTTTTTATTTCTTAAGAAAGAATACAACATTGTATTTCGTTTTTCTACAAAGAAGTATAACTTCACTGGTAAGGAAGAATATCAATTTGACATTTGCTGTTATGATTAAATCTACTATTCTGGGTATAACTTCATGAATAGTCAAGTGTGGAAGGTTTATTTTCATTTAGAAATCTAACTTTTTATAGAAGAAATAAGTTTTTGTAGGATTATTTGCTATTTAAGACTTGTAAAATAATAGCAGTAACTTTATCATTCCCTAAAACTTGCTGCTATTCCTTATTTAGATTTATATATGTGAGAATTTACACTATCGTAGAGGGTCCCGGACAGAGCGGGAGAAGAATGTAGAACAAAATTCAAACTCACAAAAAAAAACCGAACGTAACTGGTCTGACAGAGGCTGGAGAAACCCTGAGAGTATGGCCCCCAGACACCCTTTTAACTCAGTACTTAAGCCACTTCTGAAGTTTACCCTTCAGTCAAAGATTAGACAGGCCTGTAAAACAAACAGTAACACACATAGTTCAACCATGTACACCAGCCCAAAAGCAAAGATGAGAAGGCAGGCAGGGACAGGAGAACTGGAGGAGTGGAAGTGGGGAACCTCAGGTTGAGAAGGGCAGAGTGTTGACACATGGATTGGTTAGCAACCAATGTCGCAAAACAATTTGTGTGTTAATTGCTTAAGAGAAACTAATTTGCTCTGTACACTTTCACCTAAAGCACAATTAAAAAAAAAAAAGAATTTACATTATCAAAGAAACATGGTAGAAAAGAAAAAAAATCAACATTATTGGCTTTAGGTCTTTCTGATATTGTTCCTTTCTCGGAAATCTGAGTTT